GTTTGTTGACCTGCAGGAACTTATTACCAGACAATGATTTCCATTCTTTGTCCATGGCATTTCACATCAGTAAGATAGGAAGACGATCACAGATGACCTTCCAGCTACAGGTGGTCCTTGATTTATGACCATTTGTTTAGTGTCCATTTGAAATTACAGTGGCACTGGAAAAAGTGACTTATGAGGTGTCCTCGCACTTATGACTGTTGCAGCATCCCTATGGTAAGGTGATTAAAATTTGGCCATTTGGCAATAGGCATGTATGTATGACAGTTGCGGCATCCCAGGTTCATGGGATCGCCATTTGTGACTTCCCTAGCAAAGTCCAACATGCAAACTTAGTGAGAAAAGCCTGGATTCACTTAGCAATCAAGTAATTCACTTAATAACTGCCATTAATAACTGGCAGAAAAAGGCTGTGAATCAATCCAACAACCATCTTGCTCAGCCATAGAAATTCTAGTCCCAATTGTGGTTATAACTCAAAGACTATCTATACTTTTGAAAGTTACGGGGATTGAAAGTGGCGGCAGGGTAAATCGCCCATATGCACTTCTACGCTTTCTAGTATTTCTCCTCTAGTTTTGCAATTGAATCTGGACATCCTTTTTGCTCTTAGATAAATCAGGGGTTAAATTTATCTCCTAGACCAGGGGTGTCCAGCCTGTGGACTTCAACTCCACAATATGCATGCTGGGGAATTCTGGGAGTTGAAGTCAACACGTCTTAAACTTGCCAAGATTGGACACCGCTGTCCTAGACGTTCTTTCTCATTCTTTCCTAGCATTATTGAGGAGGAAATGGTTAACCCCATTTTCAGTTTCAGAGTTCCTTGGGTTTTTCTTTCTTTTCTTTGAACCATTTTGTCACTTGCTGGTGGAGAGTAGTCTATTTACCTCAGATGTTCAGAAAACAATTCTTACTCTCCAGAAAGGACCCTATTAATTCCAAATCTTGATTCCATATGTGCTGTGGTTTGTGTTGCCAGCATTTTTAGAAACGTCGTAGGAGCCATGTATAAATTACCAGAATTGACAACAATTGCAGATGATCAAATAAGGATTACAGAGTATTTGGGAGCTATTACACAAACTATCGAGCAGAACACAATACCGTAGCCTCTTTTGAACTTATTTTAGCTTCTTTTAGCTCTATTTTTATTTGAGAAGTGCATTTGTCCTGCTTAAATTTCCAGCTAAAAGCTGGGGGATTAAAGGATAGATTGTGCCTAAACACTATTCCCATAATTATCCATAACTATTCTGGAATTTGAACTACTTTATGTTTGCTTTTTTCGGGAACTTCTAATTATAATCAGTGATGCTCTTTTCCTTTCATCTCTAACTCTTAATTCCTTTTTGGAAAATGCGTCCAAGTTTTCGTGGACTTCCGTGGAAATCTATGCACTGCCTTTTATCAGAGATGTAAAAGAGAAGATATCTACTAAGATGAATTCTATGATCCTTAGTAGCAAGTATTGTGTTATCTTCCCTGCTGAAAGATCAGTTGTACAACTTGGGCGGGGCAGGGGAGGGGCTGTCTTAGATTTCATAGACCTCCTAGAAGGCCAAGAGATGCTATTGTCCAGACGTGCCGTTATTCAGCTACACCTGGTGTATTGGATACTATTAACGTTCGAGAAAAAGAAAACATCTAGCTACGTTGATTTGTCCTTAATCATTTTTTCATCCTAATAACAGGAACACGCACAACTCTGTACAGAGCATTTTGATAAATGTACTGAAACTCCAGTTCCAGTCAAATGTGGCAGCTGTATTTCATCATTGACACGTTCTCCTGATTATGTTATTATTTCTCAGTTGTTTCTGGACTTATCTCAAGTTACTGGCTTTGTTAACCAAAGTCCTAAAAGATATCAGAATCACAGAGTTGGAAGGAACCTTGGAGGTCTTCTAGTCCAGGGGATCGCCAACCTTTTGGACCTCAGGGACCACCAAACTCATAATTTTAAATCCCAGGGATCACTAACCGGTTCTGTGGGCATGGCCCAATTTGTGGGTGTGGCTTGGTGGTCATGTGACTGGCTGGGCATGGCTTCTATGTAAATATTATAAATATTTGTATAAATATTGGTTATTATTTTTTTATAAAAAGGAGAAACTTTTACCCAAAATCAGGCAAAGCACGCAGGCAGATTGAGTTGCTCACAGAATCACAGTGTCAGCTTTAAAATTCAGCTGCCACATTTCATGGAAGTGGGGTGGAGGAGTTGAAAAGTTCAAGGTTATTCTGAATGTTGTATTCAGAAATTCCAGTTGCAGTTAATTGGTTCTCATGATTTATGAAGTGTAGAAGTGAGAGGAGAGAAAGGAGGAGAGAAGGTGGATTCTGTGTAACGCGCGAAAATATTTCACTTTGGGAAATTGCCTTAGACATACCAGATCTGTTTTTAAATGTATCAATAGGAGAGAAAATGTTTGATATCATGGATACTTTCTGGATGCCTTACACACAGATATCATTCAGATATCTATCTATCTGCCATTGGCTAGCTTAGTCTGTCACATAAAATTTGCTTGAAAGCAAACTCATAAAATTTGCTAGCAAGCAAACTCACAAAATTAACTCATAACACACCAAGTATGTAAATATTGATTTTTTTACATAAAAAGAGCAACTTTTACCCAAAAGCAGGCAAAGCAGGCAGACAGACTGAGTTGCTCACAGAATCAGTCAGTGATCTATCTATCTGCCATCGGCTATCTCAGTCTGTCACATAAAATTTGCTTGCCGTGAGTCTCCATTGAATAATAGAAGCTTCAGTTCTAAGGGAGGTTCGGCTGTGCTTAAAAGCAGAGCCGAAGATCTAAAGACTAGCTAGAAAGCAAGAAATCCATCAATTTCCTGATTCCTAGCTAATCTAAATCTCTCACAGCAGGACAGCTGATGGTTGGAAAAATAGCAAATTAGCAGGCAAGTTTGCCTGGTAAGGAGTGAGTGGGTGGGGAGAGTTCCTGCGGGCCATGTGAATGGTGCAGCCTTGTGTTTCTGCACAGCCTGGATTAATTGCTTTGGGGGGGTGGTGCTCTGGGGGTGAGATTTCTCTGCGGCCCACCAAAATTTTCTCATGGCCCACCAGTGGGTCGTGGCCCACCAGTTGGCAACCGTGTTCTAGTCCAATCCCGTACTCAAATAGGAGACCCTATATCATTTCAGACATTATCAAATTTATTTGCTACCCATCTTGGGGTTTAAGGTGACTCATAATCACTCCTTCCCTATGACACTTCCCGCAAGTTACCATATTCACTTGGATTTTTTTAATTTCTCACTCTCTGGATAAGCCAATTTGGTAAAGGTTATAGACAGGGCCTTTTCAGGGGCAGCTCCTCCCTTATGAAAATTGCCCCTAAGGCTGATGGTGGTGTCATTCATTCTGCCAACTGTTCAGCAGAAACATGTATCTCCTAAATTTCCCAAGTAGTGAAACTAATGTTTGAAGTGAAAGTGGTGCAGTGGGCCTAAGCTATGGATATTCTTTTTCTAATCCTTAATTCTTTATTTTTCTTTGAACTGTGGCATAGTTCTGATAATTTCACTTGCCCCTTCCATTGCTTTTTCCTTACTCTGTGACATCCTTGGAACTTCAAAAGAAAAGAGGAAGGTTTTTCTGGGGTGAGTCAAGTCAATCAGTCCTTCCCACTCACCCCACAACTTTTATTTGGCATTGGGATCAACACTGCAGTCCTTTGGGCCGAGTCTCTAGTGATAATATAGGGTGGAGACATATACAATATAAGGTGATTTACATAATTCACTCATTAATATTTGCTGTGATGTATGGGAATAACAAATTAACAAAGTTGGTAGGGACATTGAAGGTTTTCCAGTCCAACTCCAGCTCAAGTGGGAGACCTTATACCACTCTGGACAAATGGCTGCCAACTGCCAACAGTTCGATTCTGACCAGCTCAAGGTTGACTCAGCCTTCCATCCTTCCGATCCAGATTGTTGGGGGGCAATACACTGACGCTTAGAGAGGGCTGTAAAGCACTGCAAAGTGGTATATAAATCTAAGTGCTATTGCGATTTCTATGTTCCTCACTGTAAATAGAACACGGTAGTTGGAAATGGATGTCAGCAGACTTAATTTTGGGCCTCTCGGCTAGACCCCCAGAGATAAAATAACTATTAAAAAATGAGAGATTGATTGCAGCTTTGCAGACGGTAATTGGTTTGTTTGTGTCATTTTTTTCACTTTCCACTTGATAGTCCTTCAGCAAGAGTTGGTTTACATATGAGGCTTACTAAAAATACAGATCAAACATAACGCTCAAGATCTCGTTATTATTCAATTTCATTTTGTTTCATTTCATTTTACTTACCACTTCCATCCAAATAGATGTTGGAGTGTTCACAGATAATTAGTATTGCAAAACCATGATAATAAATGATGCAGCATTTTATTTTTTTTAAAAAAATCCTTCCTTTATTATTTTTATAAATAACTCAAGGCGGTGAGCATACCTAACACTTCTTCTTCCTCCTATCTTTCCCACAACAACAACCCTGTGAGGTCAATTGGGCTGAGGCTGCTAAACAATTAAATCTTCACCAAGTAATACAGTCACATTACTTATAACTAATACTGGTAGCATTAGCTTAAAAGCAAAAATAAAACAATGAAAGATAATAAAAGTTTGCTTTGTTTTTTCATGATGCATGCTTATATATGTATGTCAGAAGAGACTGAATCCTGTTGGCACGCTGGAACTATTATTATTAAATTGTGGTATTTTAAAAGTTATTCCTATTGCTATTTCAGTTCTCTAACAGACAAGCCTTAATTTTACTTTCTCTTCATAATAATAAAATGGACATCACAGTGACCTTCTATGTAATTGCAGAGGAAAAGTGATACCTTGGAAACCTCCTTCGTGTTAACAAATGCTGTCACTTCTTTTTATGAACTGAAACATAGTTTCCTGAGAGTTCTCTGTCTCTGTATCCTAAAAAAAAAATCTAATTTTTCTTTCAAGCCCTTGCAACTGGAAAGAAAATATGGGATGCCCCCAGAGCACACATCAGCCAGCTAGGCTCAGAAAAAGTATGGTGGGAGCTTCAGTGCCAGTTCCAATTGCGCCACCTTCAGGACGGTGCGAGAATTTCAGCTGTTCTACGGCCACAATTAGAAGGTCATTGGATCTCAACAGGGTATGTATGAACATTGTCTCAAAATGCAGAGGAGCAGGATAACGTGTTACGTCTGTGTAACACATTCAGTGCATTTGATTGTCAAGGTGGGCTTTTGTTAAAATGTGGAAAGTATTTCTTATTCTCTCTCTCTCTCTCTCTCTCTCTCTCTCTCTCTCTCTCTGTGTGTGTGTGTGTGTGTGTGAACATGTTCCTCTCTTGCAGCAGCATCTTTTATGGCATTTTAAAGACCAATATATAGTTGTAGTAATCAGACACTGTAGTAATCAGTGTGTCTAAAGTTGGGTAGGTAAGAAAAAAAATATAAAACTGCAAATTGCTTTTTTGACATTACCCAAGTTTTAAAAAGTATCAGCTCAAGATATATGGTATCTGCAGATTGTTGAATTACAAAAAAGTTCTAAAGTTCTAAAAGTTTCTTGGACACCTCTTGGATTCATTTACAGATACCTTTGTGTGGACCTTCTTGTCTTAGTACAGAATTGTTAATGCTTCTCATGAAAAATAAGACAGAGAATAATTTTCCTAAGTGCACAGCCCCAACTTGTAGTATTTCAGTGCTATTGATAATGTAGGGTTCTTCAGATTTGAGCTCTCAAATTGCAATAGCTTGCGACTCTCAGAATGTCCAGTCTGGTCTGACATCATCATCTTTATAAAATAGGAAATCAGAACTCACAGATCCATTTTTAAAACATCTTTGGTAAAATGGAATATGTTTATCTCATCTTCCAATCCAGAAGGCCATCTATATTTTCCTTAAGCCAACCCTGCAGACTTGGCAGATCAGACTTTTTATAAGAAAAATGGGACAGTGCCAGACTTTTGATAGCTCTGGAATTTCCCCAGTGATGAATTTCTTGTTCCAAATAGTGACTTGAGTTCGTTCTATAAATTATTCCTCTGTTTTGTTTCTGTCAGGACAGGAGATTTGGAGACGATTGGGTGCATGTCCTCGCTAAACAGTACCACAGAGTTGAATAATTCACAAAATGGCTGCCTTGGTAACCGTGGCCATTCACAAAATGCCCATTTACCAGAAGGCACATGAGCTCTCAAGGATATTTTTCTCCCTTTGCAGTGGACCTTTGTGAGATCAAAAAATGTTCTTGTAAATAAATATGTGGGCAGAGGCTGATGCTTTGCATATGTCTGCTTTCTGTTAATATTTGAAATTAAAATAACTTTTAAAAAAGAAATCAGATGCAACTCTGGGAACCCATCATCCTCGTCATGCCATTCCTGGAAATGAAGAGATTTTTCTAAGTTCTACTCAAGTCTCTAGATTTATCCTCTTAACAATTTTTTTATGTTGTCCAACAGCTTAGCTACTTATACCATCTTTGATATCTAACATGTTTACTGATACAGTGTTGGTCCATACCTACTTTTGGCAACTAACAAAATAATAGAGTTGGAAGGGACCTTGGAGGCCTTCTAGTCCAACCCCTTGCTCAAACAAGGAACCCTGTAGCATTTCAGACAAATGTTTGTCCAATCTGTTCTTAAAAACCTCCAGTGTTGGAGCATTTGCAACTTCTGGAGGCAAGTTGTTCCACTGATTAATTGTTCTGTTAGGAAATTCCTCCTTAGTTCTAGGCTGGTTCTCCCCTTGATTAGTTTCCACCCATTGCTTCTTGTCCTGCCCTCAGGTGCTTTGGAAAACAGGTTGAGCCCCTCTTCGTTGTGGCAGCCCCTAACAGGAATTTCCTCCCCTTGTCTTCAGGTGTGAAGTGCGCCCAGGACCTGAATTCCTGACTCGGTCATATATGTTCTTTGCCAACCGCCTCTTCAAAGCCTATCAGTTTTACTACCGCGACCCTTCCTGTAGAGAGCCCACCTACTCTCTGGTCATCAAAGGGAAAATCAGGCTCCGGCAGGCATCCTGGATCACCCTAGGGGCTACAGAAGCAGATTATCACCTTCATAAAGTTGGCATTGTCTTCTACAGCCAGAGGGCCATGCAGGAAACGGTTGCCCGCCTCAACCAAACAGGAGTGCGTTGCAGTGGATTTTTGCCAGCTGGACGGGCTTGGGCTCCGGGTGCCCTCTACGAGCTTCTGAGTGCTAAAGGGGAAGAGGACTGCACCCCTGGCCTTGGCTTTGCCATGCATGAGCTTAGCCTGGTACGAGTGGAGAAGTATCACCAGCCCTTGCTCCTCCAGCACAACCAGGGGAGCAGGCAGGTGGAGGAGCTGTATCTTGGAGACATTCACACTGAATGGTCAGAGAGGCTTCAGTATCGGCCTACAGGATATCAGCGCCCACTGCAGAATGCCATGGTAAGACCGATGCTTTCAGGGGCGGTCCATTACAGTATTATTAACTCGGCCTTTTATTGTTGGGTCCCACCAAAAGTCCATAGAAAGAATAACAGAGTTGGAAGGGCCCTTGGAGGTCTTCTAGTCCACCCCCCCCCCCCCGCGTTCAAGCAGGAAACTCTAAACCAGGCCTGTCAAACTGGCCGGATACATCACACGCAGGCCACGCCTACCCTGGCTCTGCAAACATTAAAAAATGTCATGATAGGCCACGATCCAGCAAGTGACACGATCAGGTTTAAACACCCGTGCTCTAAACCATTTCAGACCAATGGTTGTCCAATCTCTTCTTAAAAGCCTGCAGTGTTGGAGCACCCACAACTTCTCGAGGCTTAGTTCCACTGCTTAATTGTTCTGACAGGAAATTTCTCCTTAGTTCTAGGTTGGTTGTTTCCTTGATTAGTTTCCATCCGTTGCCTTCAGGTGCTTTGGAGAATAGATTGACCCTCTCTTCTTCTAGAATGAGGCTAGGATAGAAGGAGTAGCAAGGAAAATGTAAAGGTAAAAGTTCTCCCGCACATGCGTGCTAGTTGTTTCTGGCTCGAGGGGGTGGTGCTCATCTCCGTTTCAAAGCTGAAGAGCCGGCGCTGTCTGAAGACGTCTCTGTGGTCATGTGGCCAGCATGACTAAATACCGAAGTTTCATTTCGTTTGCTTTATTGTCATTGTACCTCATACAATGAAATCAAACATCATCTTCAGTGTACATCATGACCATGAAAATAAACACAAACACACCTCCTTCACACTCCACACATTGAATTGAAAACCCCCAACACTGCACTATACAGCAGAATTCAAAAGAGCTGCTGCCCTGGGATAGAAGCTGTTTTTCAGCCTATTTGTGCTTGTTTTTATTGTTCTGTACCGTCTGCCAGATGTAATAGTTCAAAAAAAAGGGTGCCCAGGATGAGATGGATCTTTGAGAATGTTTTGAACTTTCTTAAGGCAGCGGGAGCTATAAAGCTGTTCCAAAGAGGGAAGAGGGCAACCAATGATCTTCTGACGTTAACCCTCTGGAGTGCTTTCCTATCTGCCACTGTGCAGTTGGCAAACCATACAGAGGTGCAGTGAGTTAAGTTAAGATGCATGGAGCGCTGTTATCTTCCCACCAAAGTGGTCCCTATTTTTCTACTTGCATTTTTTATGTGCTTTCGAACTGCTAGGTTGGCAGAAACTGGGATAAGTAATGGGAGCTCACTCCATTATGCAGTGCTAGGGATTCGAACCACCAAACTGCCGACCTTTCTGATCAACATGCTCAGAGTCTTTGCCTCTGAGCCACCTTTAAGGAAAATGTAGTACACCATTATACCTTATGAAAATGTCATTACTAGAGGAAATAAGCCTGAATGTAATTAATAGCAGGCCTGGAAACCCAACTCTTAATGCAGCTGAAATGTGATTCCCTTTTTTTGCTTTGTTTTTGCTCAGAAGCTTGGTTTCCTTCCCAGAATGTGTATTTTTATCAAAATCATAACTAATCAATTTAGAAAGATGATTGATCTTTAAGATAAGTTGGTTGTATTTCAGCAGAAAAATCCTCTTGAGGATTACCAGATGGGAACAGAAGGAAAGTGTAGGGAAAGAAGGAAGGAAAAAAAAAACTGATTTTCCACCCATTTAATATTGCAACAACTGGGGTGATAGAATAACATCAACAAACCACCCTCCTAGACACATGTTCGGGCTGGCATTAAAGTAGAGGTATCCTGGGCCAAAACCATGGAGGCATGAGTTAAACCAGATGGTAAACAGGAATACTTTGTAAAATTAATTTAAAACAGTCTGAGGTGGTGGTGAAATGCAAGGACTTCATTGCAGTCCTTTAGATAATCAGCTAACAGTTCGACATTTCATACTTTCCATCCACAATATTCACCGAAGAGGGTTAAATGTTATCTATTTAAATCCAAAGAGCTTTGTTTAAGTGAAAGTGAGACATTTTTGACTTTAAGCAAGGCTCTGCAAGTTCCATTGTTTTGAAGTGATTGGTGTCCCTAACCTTAGGATAGCAAAACTCCAGTTAAAGCTTGGAAATACTCTAAACCAGTGTTTCTTATTTTGCTCTTTGAACCCTTTCCCAAAAGACCCCCCAAAGAGCTTTTGTATGTGTGGGTGACATTTATCAATATTTACCAGCTTAAAAATTAAAATGGACTAATTCTTAGAATATTTATTATTGATTCTTGTAAAAAATATAAAAATTAAACATTAGACATTAATATAAATAAAACATTTTTCATGGAAAAAGCCTTGTAATTTTTCAACAAAGAAAAAAATAATATGTGTACATGGTTTTAAATATTTGCAAATATCTTTGATACCTGGCAAATAATTTATATTTTGTGGATCCCCAGAAGGTCCTTGAAACCATTCCTTCTGAAGCTGCATGCATAGGCAACTCAAGGAGAGAACTTGAGGCAGGTTCTGGACATGGCCAAAAGCACAACTGTTGAGAAAAAGGAGGCAGATCTGTTCTAAAAAAAAGGATCTATGATATATACCATATTCTATGCTCTTTTGTTCTAAGTAGACTTTCCTTTTTCCTGTTACAGATATATAGTTGAGCAGTAAAGCACATGGTGACTGTACTCTCTGGTTGCTCTGTGTAGTGCTTTATATAAACAGAATTTCTAACAGGTTCATACTTCTTGTGCAAAAGATCTCAGCTTCTCTTCTAGGCACCTGTAGTTTTCAGTAGCATTAGACAGCAGCGCTGGGAAAAACATAATTTTAGGGAACCTCGCATACTCTTAGATGGTGTAACACTTTTGAGGAGAACCTTGAAAAGACCTGCTGAACAAAACAAATACTGGTAGTCCTCAAGTTACAATGGTTCATTTAGTGACTGTTTGAAGTCACAATGGCACTGAAAAAAGTGACTTACGATGATTTTTCACACTTACGACCGTTGCAGTATCCTCATGGTCACAGGATCAACATTGGGATGCTAGACAGCTGGCATGTATTTTAAGATGGTTGCAGTGTCCTGGGGTCATGTGACACCCCTTTTGTGACCTTCTGACATGCAAAGTCAAAGGGGAAGCCAGATTCACTTAACAGCCATGTTTCTAACTTAACCACTGCAATGATTCCCTTAACAATTTTGGCAATAAAGGTCATAAAATTGGGCAAAACTCACTTAACTGTCTCACTTGGCAACAGAAATGTTGGGCTCAGTTGTGGTCATGTCAAAGACTACCTGTATTCCAAGCATACAAATGCCTGGGTTGGATACTCCCTGGTTGCTAAGCTATCTTGTATTTGATGTAGATGTATTTTAGAATGTTGGGTGCACTTGCTATTTAGCGTTAGGATTATTTATTTGTTTTTATTTATATCCCGCGTTTATTATTTTTATAAACTCAAGATGGTGAACATATCCAATAACTTTCTCCTATCTCCTATTTCTATATCTTGGAGTACTCATATTTGAATGACCTATGTGCCAGAGCTCACTGCAACAGTATTGCCAAAAAGGCTTTAAGAGTTGTAAATCTAATCTTACGAAGCTTCTCCTCTGGTAATACTGATTTGCAAACTAGGGCATACAAAACCTTTGCTAGACCAGTACTTGAATACAGCTCACTGTCTGGAATCTGCACTGTATATCAGATTTTAACACAATTGAGCGAGTCCAGAAATATTTTACAAGAAGAGTACTGCACTCCTCTGTTCGCAACAGAATACCCTACACCACCAGACTTGAGATTCTAGGCTTAGACAACCTTGAACTACGCTGGCTAAGATAGGACTTAAGCATAGTACATAAAATTATCTGTTACAATGTCTTACCAGTTAATGATTATTTCAGCTTTAACCACAGCACAAGAGCACACAACAGATACAAACTTAATGTAAACCACTCCAAACTTGATTGCAGGAAGTACGATTTCAGCAACAGAGTAGTCAATGTCTGGAATTCACTACCTGACTCTGTTGTCACATGCTCAAACCCCCACTACCCTCAAACTATCCTCTATTGACTTCATCCCATTCCTAAGAGGTCTGTAAGGGACGTGCATAAGCGCACAATTGTGCCTACTGTCCCTGTCCTATTGTCCCCAATTATTCATACCTATTTTATGTATTTATACTTATGTTTATTCTTATATCTATTATATTGTAAGCGATTGACAAATCAAATAAATAAAATAAAATAAAAAAATATATATTTCCCCCACAACAGGAATTCTATGAAGGAAGTTGGGCTGAGGGAGAATGACTGGCCCAAAACCACCCAGCTGGCTTTGTGTTTTAATATGAAGCGTGAATCTGTTATGGTCTTCTCAGTAGCTGGTTATTTCTACTGAGATATTCATTAGAGTCTAATGCTCCCATTCTGTTTTCCTCAAACTTTGTTGAAATGGGGTATTCCTACAACCTGGAGGAAAATCAGTTGTCTTCACCATACTAGTTGTTAGCAGAAACTTATCCAGGACTGTTATTCCATCCATCCATCCACCTACCCATCTATCCTTCTCCATACTAACACAGATAGACAAACAGCCCCAGCCCCAAATTGCTTCTATACGAAATAGCTCTTTGTTTTTTCCCCAAATCTGCCTGGTTTAACAAAAAAACCTCTCCTATTTTTGGAAAATTATCTTATTAAAGAATTTCCTGCTTTAAAAGAGAACATACATATTTCAATAACTACTGGGCTATTTAGGTATTACAGACTGTGTAGCATCAATGCTCCTTGGAGTGACAGTTGCAATAATGTGGTTAAAAATGTTTCAATTACAGCGGACTTCAGTCAACATGTCAAATTGCCCTGGTGCTGAGCTAAGTACAGTGTTATTTAAATCTCCTTCCCATACAAACAAGGCTGGCGTCTCTCAAAATCAACCATATAGAACAGCTCATAGCTTATAAAAACAGGTATCATTCACCCTAAATCCTTTGGTGCCTACTATGATAATTAGAAGAGGAGTTAACTTCTAATGCTGACCAGAA